TAACGTTTGAATCAATCATTGTTGGTGAAAAATCGTCTTCAAAGAACTCTGTATTGACCGAGTACCTATGCATTGTTAGTAGCTATGACATAGCCAATTTCATGAGGCCAGCTAAATAGCAAGCAACCTTAGCATTTGACAAGAAAAAAATTCTGCGTATTTTTTCTTTCATTTCTTGTTACGGTAATCTTTTGGAATAATTTTTGATCGTGTTCACTCAACTTTTACATGCAGTAAATAAGAAATAAATGCTAGTAGAAATGTTTAGTGTCTCACACGATTGTGAAAGCCATGTTTCGTAATCGAAATTTTTGTTCTTTTATCACTAGAACTGAGTGATTGAAATTAATGACGATATCTTCCGTTGAATTTTTGGATTATTGAAATATTTGGAGACTACATGTCGATATCTATTAAGAAAGGGTTTCTTCATGAATTCTAGTTAATCTATTTATGGCCGATCCCCTGGGGCCTAACAATGTGCTTTTTTTATATATACTCTTCAATGATTTATACGATTCGAATGATACAGGTTTCATAAAAAAATTATTCATGAACTCTCTTTCCTCTTTTAGAGCAAATTTCTCTACAATTCTCTGTATAATCGTTTCGTTTTATATTACGATTGATCAACATGGAGCACGTGAAAGTTATCTCATGAATTTTATTTCGATCGAAAAAGCCTGGTGAAGAAGCAAGTGATGGAAGAGCAAACTTGGACCTTTGTTGAATATTATGATCGATAGAGGCCCCTATTAAAGTCATATATATTATGCATTTTTTATATAATATTGTGAAAACACAATATTATATCTTCAATACTGTACTTGACTTGATTTAGTTCTAACTCAGTAAAAGTTATTATATTGTTATCGCAAAAGCCTGTCATATTATTCAAGTCATAAGGTCGGATATCTTGAGCCACTTTACTTCAGGGCGTTGTCCGGCCCCGCGGCGAGACGTAGCTGTCAATAAGTGTGACGATGGGCTCACCAAATTAGCAGCGATCAATATCAGTTGGCTTGCTTGGCCATCGCAACCTCTTACAACCTTTACCATTTGATTGACTCTCTGCAGTGCCTGCTGAACTTTTATTGTATGACAACTTCGTCGAATCTTTGGACCGGTTTAATACGTAAACTATTCGATTCTTTAGATAAAGAAAGTAAACGTGTGATGCTTTTCAGATTTCCGTTTCAACCTCAAGTGATTTTGGCAGAAATTAAATAGAGTAGCACGAGATTTGAATTGATCTATAGCTATTCACAAAAATATGTATATTATTTAATCGATGCCTTTAAAGTTAGGTTATTTGACATCGGATGGTTCCTAGCATCGGTAAGATAGTAGTAGCGTCCATTTAAGACACGAAATAAAAATTTTTTTCTTCAAATTTGAAAATCCAGGAGCTGAGCAAGTTTTTCCTTTCCGGTACTCATAAGGATCAGAGAGACAGGGAGGCACAAACACACCTCCACTTGTCGTACGTCTGGCAAACACTGGCATTGATTATATCTGCCGGCAGTGCCGTGCCGAGCTGCACTGTTTGTAGTTAAGTTGCGATGCGTTCTGCCTTTAAGTCTATGGGAGTTTTGTGATGAACTTCATTACCAAGTGATGATAGCATTATCTTTAGTGAGAATGTAGCAGGTATTTAATTTGTGTTCGCAAGGCCCAAAGACTTAAATGGAAAACTAGTAACTCTTTAAATTAAAGGTGGTTGACACCCATGTGTGTTCTGTGTCAGGCGTTCCTTGTGCTTGTGCAGCTTTCACTTGCTTGTCGTCAAGACTAAAAGTGCTTGACAATGGCAAAGAAACTCATTGTAGTTCGTGCATTATGCATCTTATATTATGCATTCAGATTTTTCATCCCTGTCTGTGTAATAATTGGTAGGAATGATTTCGGCTGTTTATCTCAAAATGTTAAAGTTAATTCATAAGGAACTTATGTTAAATGCACATATTTCCTTCGTTCTTCCCATCATTCATTTGTAATGAATTATTGACTTATCCAAATAAATTTTCTTTAATGAAAATGAAAACTTCGTTGATTGTGAATCGTTTTTGTTCCTCATATCTTCCGAACACACATGAAAGTTTCAATTTAAATCAACCGTTACTATAATTTCACTCTGGAATTTACCTCGTAACGAAACATATAAATATTATATTATATTTATATTCTGTTTCAAAGTCACCACATGAAATGCAATAGTGAATTGACTCATTTTGTTCCAAGGTTTTATCTTGCTCTCGGTAGGCATTAGTCAAAATCGATCAAGTGTTCAGTTGCTGAGCAACAACGCTCTATATGCAGTACCAAGAAACAGATATCTCTTATTGACATAATAGACTCAAGGCTGTGATACACCTGTGCCTGAACTTCACCCCAAAATAACCAGTTTACCACTGAAATCGAAAAGAGAGCTTAAACACGGATACCTCGTCTACATAAATTAACCAAGAATCACTATTATAACTGTCAATGCTTGTCTAATGTTATATCTTCAGGAACACACTCAATATCGATAATAATGAGAACTGTACATAGATATAGAACATTGTACATAAAGATAAAGCTGGGATGAGGGCATATCCCTGATGTTCATTTTTTTAATGGAGGTACTTCGCAGTATTTTTAAATTTTTTTCAGGTCAATAATAAATATTCACGTACAATTAAGCTAATACAAGATTTATTGTTGTATCTTAGCATTTTATATGGCCGTATCTCAACGAAGCCATTGATCAGTTTCATTTCAATGCAAACTGCTTGTTCGTCTTAGCCTATACAGTATATTCGCTAATAACTGAATGTAGAATTCGCTTACCACAGAACGAATATCTTAATTAACTTGGACCAAGGGGCTTTTTCTGATCGAATCGACGGCTGACTAAATTAGTTTCGTTTAAAGAGAAGCAGGCAATTTAGGTGCAGATGAGGTTAGTGTTCGACTCAATGGTCAGTTTGACACTTTATCTGACACGGTCCAATCTCTCATTTTGAATTTTTTTATTATATTACCTGAGAAACAATTAGCTCGGTCATCAATTTTCATTACAATTTAATAATTTTTGTTGTTGTTGCGTCACCCACAGGAATCGAAAACGACGGCAAACGCCTGAGTGCTGAAAATTATATCCTACACCAGCGGAGCTATGGCGAGCTGTTATCGTATTCAAATTTCTCGATTAAATAATTACAGTGGTGGTACGAATCTTAACGATCCAGAATCCTATAACCTGACTTAATCGTGTAACCTGGGTGATGAGTATGCGAGGGCATCTTATGATTAAAGCACTACCTGAATTTCAGTTTGAGCAGTTGAATATTTAACTATAAATAAAAAAATATATACGCTAGAGAAAGTCGCAATGCATCGTCAGGATACCGAGCGTCAATCAGACGCGCATTCTATGAAATTGTGAACAATTATTAAGTCTGGCAACAAAAAAAGCGCTTGAAGCGCTCGAAAATACTGCTGGGGTCTTGTATAAAATTGCTAATATTGTATCATAAACTACGAAATATTTAAAATAGTAATCAGAATTTTCTTAAGTTGGTTCTGAAGTTTCGCTACACAGGAAGTATTCACTAACGTAAGATATTTGTGTTTCTATAATAATAACAATACCATTTCTTTTCTAACGTCAGAGAAAGGCGTGCAATTGGTTCACTATAGTTCGCTATTGAAAATAAATTATTCGCAAATAATCGTTCTATTCAGGAGCCTGTGCGTCGGAAAATATTCCTCCATACTTGCCTGAAGATAACCTTGCTTTCGACAAGAAATTGATTTCAGTGTCAAGCACCAGACTCTGCAGTCGATGTTGATCGACGGCTGCCTGCTGCGCGGCGCGTTGAAAACATATTTTATACGACGCATATTTAACGGCGCATATTTTCCAAATAATATGTTGATAATTTAATTCTAGGGATATGCTACCATAGCGCACAATAAATATGAATAAATAACATTTTCTGTTACCGAGCGAGGTGTGCTAATACCAACTGAAAAATAGATGTTGATCTTTGATACCGAAGCATAGTTGGCAGAAATTCGTTTTCATGCAGTTTTTAGCAACATTTTTAGATTGTCGTAACGTTTTTTAACGCATTTTCTCATTTATGAAAAAATGCACTATTTTGCTCGCCATGTCCGTCTGTCTGTCTGTCCGTCCGTGACTTCATGTTTTCGTCGACGAAAAAATGCGCTCCCTGTCACTCACTGCAGTGAGTTGCCGGCGTTCTATTATTTTGGCTTAGAATTCATACTGAATTATATTTTTTCTTCAATATATTCGATTTTAATGCACTTCTTGTTTGACTGCAGGAGGTATCGAGCACCTTGGCTTATAATATGACAGAAATAAGGAGGTAATCTATAGCGAGGTTATACAGAGTTGATTTAAGGCAAAACTAGCAATAATTTTGGTGTTTGTTCTAGTATATGTAATTGATCTAATGTCTTGAACCATTTATTTTATTCAAACCTATTATTGTTTCGACAGGTTTACTATAGTTCCGCGATGGGTCCGTTCCTCACAAGCTATCATTAACTCGTTTTTGCCGAAAACATTTCGATGATTGCGTAAAATAACAATAATTAAATAAAATTTAATTTTTATACTGGTCCTCTTCGACCGTAGTCAGCCATCCGCGCTTTATAAGCACAAATAGAGTTTAAGGGACGCAGCTCTAATATTTTTTCGCACAAAATTTATACTCTTGGACCAAATTTCCTGAGCGCTGCGGGTGATAAACGCGTCAGTGTGCACGTAGAGTGGTCATGCTGTTAGATAACATAGCTTAAAAGTCACACATTTGTCCTGCAATAAAAAGGGCACGATCAAATAGAAACAAAAATTTTCCCCTACAGAGACAAATCAGATATAAATTTGTTACTGACCGGAGTCCGTTTGAACATCATTTCGTCCATGAAGCAATATTCTGCGTTGAAAACTCATCTATGCGTGCCTCAACTGAGTAAATCTAATAAGTAAAGAAATATGAAAATTATATAAATTACATGAACAATTTGAAGTCAACCATGCGCAGCACGATTTCCTGCATATGTTGTGTTGCTGAGAACCTGTAATAAGTTCCTACGGAGTCCTCATCGCACACGGTAAATAAGTAGAATATTATTAATAATACTTCTGGCTCAACTTTTATTGGGGAATATAACTCGATGTTTGCTGCGGACGCGGCGTCCACTCAGCGGCCGGCGACAGCGCTGGCCGTGTGTCACCAGCACGAGTTACGGCCCCGTCCTTACGTGGTTGGCTATTCAGGTGTGTAAAATATTATTGATCTTTTTACGGATTGAATGTCTCGTGATAATAACAGCAATAATAGGAAATAATTTTACAAGGAAAATTAGTATAAATAGAATTAATTGCATATCAATAAAATACGGTGAATAAATCATTGCATTACATTTTAAATAGATACATATTAGACAATTTCTCTGGTAGTATTCTTATTGATTTTATTTAGGAATTTCATGAAGATCGCGTCTTGTATATCTTGCTTTTGTTATGCCTTAAGTTCTCTATTTTCATAAGCTTAGACTCGCAGATCAACGCACCTATTAGCATTTCTCTGTTACTTATTAACCTTCTTCTTCTCCTACAATGCTATTATCTGAAAATTTTAAACATAAAAATCTCAGAACCTTTAAGTAGCTAAATAAATGAATCTTGTATAAAAATATGTATATATCTGCAATGATTTTCTCATATAGGTATATATTTGCTGTGATATATAAATCTTGTATAAATAAAGGTATATATTTGCTGTGATATATGAATCTTGTATAAATATATGTATATATTTGGTGTGATATTGCCCAGGCTACATCCCAGGGCTGATGTTCCAGTACGGCAGGACCTTCGCCAAGGCCGCTGAGGACTGCGTCGTGACCTTCCTGAAGCAGCAGGAGGAGCGCCTTACAACCCGACATGTCGAGGTGACCGATCATTAAAATATATTTTCAATTGTCGCGTTTGTCTTTTTAAACTTTGATCCATTGAATATGGGAACTTTAATCCTAAGAATATTAAGGAGGGACGTCTCACAACCCGACATGTCGAGGTGACCGATCATTAAAATATATTTTCACTTGTCGCGTTTGTCTTTTTAAACTTTGATCCATTGAATATGGGAACTTTAATCCGAAGAATATTAAGGAGGGACGTCTCACAACCCGACATGTCGAGGTAACCGATCATTAAAATATATTTTGTATTGTCGTGTTTATCTTCATATAAACTTTGATCCATTGGATATGGGAACTTTGATCCTAAGAATATTAATTTTTAAACATTCGGAGGTATAACCGCTCTTTAATATCATTCACTTAGGCTAGTCGCTGTATGTTGAACTTAGATACTTTTTGGCCTTAGAATAAATTCCCGCGATATGCCGAGGTAATCACTCATTAAAATATCGTTCGTCTCACCGCTGTAGTTTACGAACTTTGGCCCATCTTTAACCGTAGAGTAAAAATTCCCCGGCATGCGAAGGTATCACCTCATTAACAATATCATTCACTTACCACAGTATAATAAATTTTGAACCACTCGTATTATGAGCAAAACATCAAAATAATTCTAATCTAAGCGGAAGGGTAACATCAGAAGGCGCATATTCAAAGTTGCGGATAAGTTCAAGTATCTGAACTTCATTTGTTTCTCAAATCTTACTCTAGAGGCACCCGTAGTTCAGTAACAATTCAAAATTATCCAACTTCGGCTTCCTTAACGTAACTCTTGAACTGAACTTAATTCGTACATGAATAAAATGTAAAAAGTATTAATTTTGTTTATTATTTTTTAATGGTCGCTGCCGTTTGCTATCGCTTTTATGCAATGATGCTCTTTTTGTTCCTTCTCAATTTAGTACTCAATGAGTTAAGAGCTTGAGTTTAAAGAACGATTTCCTTTAATCAACGCATTCTGAGCTGAATTTCTGTGCATTGTGCACTGAGTTTCTAATTGAATAAGAATAAATATTTTATATACACTGGAAATGCAGATTTATTGTGCGCTGAGTTTCCTATAAATTATGAAGAAAAAATTACCAGCACCTAGACTCGTCACAATAATTATCTCCTTAAGTTAATTTAGTCACTCATTCATTCACTAAACTCATTAGTTTAGCCAATCATTCATTCTCACACTTAATAGATTTTGTTGACAGAACGAGACTTTGCAGGACATAGAGAACACTTGTCTACATCACCTGTCGAATAGACAGTAAAACAATAAAACAATTGAATATTCAGCATAATACTTGACGCTGAAGTAGTGTGATGAAATTAATGTCACTCTACGCATCCTGTTAGCAACAGCAATATTCTCCCACTCCCTGTATTTTATATTTTCCCCATTCTTCTCCATTCCAAACTTTTTACTGTTCACCGGAATGCTTCCTTGTGCACGACCGTATATGCAGTTTTTGTGTGCGTTACAGTTTTTCTCTTCCATGTTGTGAGGGTTGTTATTATTGAATATGACTAACGTATTCCATAAGCTGATATCTAACAAATATTTTCTTGTATTTTTAATAAGAAACTCATGGTGCAATTTTTTACGCATCTTGATGTACTAATAATGAATCAAAAAACTCTGATCCAATTGCATGGCGTTATATAGCCTTTGATTTAATATTTAAAGACACGAAAATATTGATAGTTACAAGAGTTGTTTCGGTAAGATTGCACCAACTAATTGATCGATCGATTATATCAAATCAAACTCAGCTTCAGCGTAAATATCACTCTTCATCTGGCATCCTTTGGCTGACTATTTGTAATGTTGTGTTTACCACTCACGAGTAATTGTACATCTGAATCTGAAGTAGTTCCTAGTACTATCGGAGAAAAATTGTTCGAACACTTTCTTTATGAAGCAAACTACGGAAAGAATGCATGACGATTGAATTAACATAATCATCATCGCTGTATGAAAATGATATTAAACCTTCACATAACCTCCATCAACGGTTTTAAAATATGTCACTCCACTTTATGGGATCGATGAATCTGGGGCTACAATGTACAAATGATGAATCTGGGGGCGAATTTGTCAGACTCTTTAAGAGAAAAAGACTCTTTAGGAGAAAAATAAATGTGGGGCTACCAACTCTTTATTTTAATTTATCGTGGTATTTTGATAAGATAAATGCAAGTATCTATATATTGCTTACATCTTTGGCAAGCAAAAGTCGGATAAAAATGAAAGTTGATCAAACTTAAAGATGTGACGCTCTGCTAGTCTTCACCAGTCCCATCATAATAAATATATTTACAGCCGGAGCCTTACGCTGAAAGTTGGGACGCACTTAATACACGAGTAACCATCATTTATTCATCATCATTATTTAGAGCAGTCCTTATCATTTTGGAAAAAATAATAATCAGTTTATGGAGCATAATCAAATTGGCACCAGCATTTCCGATTTTACTAATTCATAGAAAGTAATTCGAATTATTTTACTCGCAGTTCACACGGCAAGAGCGGATGGTCGAAGCTCAAATTTCCACCTCAGATAAGGTGATATTCTCACTTAAATTGGCGCACCATCACTGTTTTATGTCTGTTCATAATAACTCGAGTAATTTATTACCGTGCTGTCCGTCACAAACACACACATGGATGAAACACGCTTGAATCATTTCTTGGAGCTCTCGTTCACGTGAACGTGGCAATTGGATCTAGTTTGCTGAATTAGAAAAATAATTTGTTTTTTAATACTCATAGTTGCATGCTCTTTCTCCACATAATAAATAAATTTATCAACGCTCAAGATTTTTGCGTAGAATAGCTTTGTATGATTGCATGAACTTTTTCATTGATGGATGTATTGGTTTTCATCAGCATCAATTAGTGTTATGTTTGAAAACTTAGGCAGACTTGGATATTTTGAAACATGGTGCAACGTCCCTGAATCATCAAGCAACTCTACTCTACATGTAGTAAACGATTTACTGCCCAATGCAGATTAATGCTTCTAAAACTCAAAAAATCTACGCGTTTTACTAGAAATATTTCAGTATCTGCGATGCAATTTTCGTGTTCAATCTAATTCTTCAAGAGATGAAACGCAGTAAGATAGCATTCGTGAATATGGGATTAATGGAATTTAAAGTAATTCTCATTTTTATCAGTTGAAGAGTGTCGATGAACTGGTTTTGTTATTTTCAATAAAATACGAATAGTTCTCACCAAAAGTTTTAATTAGCCATAATTCTTAATAAATCATATAGAAATCTTATTCTAGTTTTTCAAAAGCTTTCTAAATAAAATAGAAATTTTACATCAATAGACGATTGCGATATTTTAATCCCAAAATGAAATGTGAAAATATTCTTTGCAAAAATTTAAAACATATAAAATCGCATTCATTTTAAGTCATGTTCAGTTAAACTTTAAATAGGTAAACGATTTAAAGTGCTGTTCTCTGAATTTCTCTTATATTTTTCTTCTGATGCTTTATTTCTCTCTTCAAGCGTAAATTAACTTCATCTTCCACCCAAACTCGTTACTGAAAGTCGCAAATCGCAATGGCAAACGTTCAGAGATTGTTTTCCTTGACAGTCTAATCGTTTGAGCTTTAGTTTAAATAAGGAAATTGAATTCAATTAATGTTTATCTTAAAATATTTTATTGGTGATTGTTCTTTTCTCCGATCGAATTGATCCGTGTAATTGATTATTTTCTAATTTCCATACCGATCAGTATTTCCTATTTTTAAAATTGTTTCTTACTTTTAATTATGCTCCAATTCCCAAACTGGCGGGAGAATCGTATTTTTATATTTCAAAAGATATAAAACAATGGCGATACAAGTTTAACTTGCGAATAAATATTTATTTTATAATACATTATTTCATAAACATGCATACATGATGACTGACAAATTTCGACGCAGCGTCGAAAGCTCGAATATGAGCCAATTCTAAAACTTTCAAGTTTCACTTTAAGATCTTTTAATCTCATTGACCTGGTGCTCATGATATCGTAATTTCTTAAATAATATAGCACCACAAAAACCTATTTGATCGTTTAGCTCGTTATAAGGCGATCACAACGCAGTATGTTTATAAATAAATATACAAGTGATTTTTATTTTTGTTTACTTTTGCTTTTCACATACCATTACGAATAATTATAACTACGATCACCTGGGTTGAAATTAACTTTCATATTATCGATTGTTAGAGATCTATTTTTCGATCGTAATTTCATATAATTATTTATAATTATGGCACCAAATGTCATTTTCTACACGAAGCTCGAGTTTTGTTCATTTGAAACAACATTGATGTGCTGTTGATGGTGTAATAACACTAAATGAATCTCAATGAGATGCTGCTTACAAATATGATGCAGACATTCAACAATAGCCTGTAAACCCTTTCTTAACAATGGTATTCTAGATTTTCCTAACTTTAAACGTTTCACAAGTTCCTTAAGGTCACAACGAATTTTTCCAACCATTCATGATTAGTACAGTAAGCCAAACTGATATTGGGAAACGGAACATTTATTTTTATGGAACAGAAAATAAATGAAACAGAACATGGAATTTTATTCTCTTCGTACAGGCGGAGCGCCGATGCAAGTCACTGCCCCGCATGCGTTCTGTACGCAACGAAGAGGTCGAGAAAACACGCCACACTTTCACTTACGCGCTCGGTGAGCCGATTTATGGTAACTCTCCTTGAACTCTGCGTTCATTTTTACTGAAGTTCTTGTCATTGTAGTTTCCAATTAATATTTAATTGCATAGATCAAAAAGCAGTGTCGGCTGCCAAAGTATAGTACGCGAGGATGATGATGATGGCTGAAAATGGTAATTTAATATAATAATACATAAAATTATTTTGATCAAAAAATAATTGACGCCATGTCTAACTTCTTTACTTTATATTTTTCGTGCGAATAAGTAAATTGTGACCCTTAAAGGCAATATTCATAAAAAAATCTACATAATTATCCTATTGGTTTACTCCCTTATAACCTGGCCCTTAAATACACATAATTAAAGTTTTTGCGTATTGGATTAACTAGAAGCATACTTGCATTCATAAATTATAATTAATATTTGCTCTTTTTTAGAATTGATTTCTGTTTGATTTATCTCACAGAGGAAGACTACCCACCTCTTCCCGGCTACACTGGGCACATACCCAAAGTGTCCAGAACGTCCGTGATTGGTCGGTCCGTGGCGTCTGCCACGCGGCGAGTCAGAGAAAAGTCCACCATGGAACAAAAAGTCAAGGAGATTAACCAAGATAAATCAGTGGAGAGATACCAGGAACAGACTGCGTCGTCTAGAGCAAAACAAGTCCATCTCACCAAAACTCACCACGAGTCCGTGACCACAGTCAGAAGTGCGACGTCGAACGTAAATAAAGTGTCCAACCAGACAGTTCAGAATGAGGTAGATGGCGACACAGCCGATGATCAAGCACTCGTTGCGGATAGCGATTATCCCGAATCCGAAAAGAAAGAAATTAAAATTGAAAATGATGGTGCAAATGCACAAAACATTGAAGATAGTATCAGTTCTAATCGGGAGGAGAGGGCTTCCAAAATTTTTCGACAGGAGATTGTCAAAAAGGACGAGCAAGGCACGAGTATTTCAAGGATTATTCGCCAAGAAATTATCAGAGACAGTGATCCAGGCTCTATTGCGGAGCAGCAGGTGTTAGCAGGACAAATCAAGTGCATTGATTGCAACTTTAATTCTGATAGCGCCCAACATACAGAAACAGGATCTTGGGCCGTTGAAAGCTCCGAGACTGCAAGGACTAGAAACTTGTCTACTGAATCTTTTATAAGAACTACGTCTGCAAGATCATCGTTCCATCAGTCGATGATTATGCGTACGACTCGTCATGAAAGCCACTCTGCCGGGAAGCATAAGGAGGTTCATAAAAGTCTTTCGCCTTCTAAAGATAATAAATCGCAATCTCCTAAGAAGTCTGAACCAAAAGCAGCTGTTCAATTTTCTCCAAAGAAATCTGACTCTCGACCGGCGGCTCAAACATCGCCAAATAAGTCTGATAACAAGACATCTCCTCTGAAAATGCGGAGTCAAACGAAGCCTAAAACTCAGCCTTCACCTCCTAGAAAATCTGTTGCTGTCAAGTCAAAAACATTGCAGGCATCACAAGAAAGAACTGAATCAAAGATTCATACTTCTTCCACAACAACCAAGAGTGCACAACAGCAAAGCTCACAAATTAAATCTCAAGTTTCGTCGAAAAAAATTCAAAATTCGTCTCAAAATATTTCTGATCTCAAGACTCAAAACACAAATAAAGCTAAAAATACACCAGAAAAAACATCTGCATTGCAAAAGAACACCGAAACATCTACGAGCAGAAAATCATCTCAACAAATCCATGAAACTAAGACGCAAGTTTCATCCACAGCTCAGAATATATCTCAACAGATCACTAAAGGATTGCCCAAGGAAACAAAAAGCTCGCAAGGAGCAATGAAGGAAGAGCTTGTCAAGAAAGATGCATTGAAACCTGAATCAGTTGAAAGCCAAGCTCAAGCCGTGAGTTCATCCGAACCCAAAGCTGAGCGCACGGAGACCAAACAAAAGGACCTGAAGGAAAGCTTCGACGCAAAAATAGTGCACAAAAGTTCCGTAGTAGAAAAGGCACTGAATGAACCTGCCAATTAAGGACGACAAGGCCACGTGGTATAACGTTATCCCATTATCAGTAACACGCAAAACGCAACTATGCTTTGGTTGCGAATTTAGGAAAATAAAATATTTAAGTTTCACTTTTGAATTCACAATTCTAGATGTGCAATTACTGCACTTGTATTTCCTCATAAAGTTCTACTTTGCAATATAACCGAAATGATGTAATTAGTTGCGGAGGTCATCATGCTTGAAATGAATTGAGTCAATCTTTCAATTCTTTAATTATTCTTAAGTGTATGAAAAAAAATGAGAAATATGAATATTTTGCTCATATGAATGTATCACAGAGTGGTTCGCGCAGTTGAATTGTTTGATCGTTATTTATCACCAAGAGATCTTTAACGACGCACACACGTTCGTGTCTTGAAAGCCTAGTGGAGCTATTTTTTCACTAACGTTCACAATTTAAAGAAGATTTATATTACTGTAGGCATCGACGTTGCAAGCACTACAATAGTTTTTAACAAACTTCAAGTGAATTACATCACGGTAGAACTGGTGTATCAAAAAAATCAGTCAACCACACGTTTAATCCCTAAGATGAATCGAGTTAGTATAGCATCGCCATATTCTGCCGCTAATTTTATAACACGGAAACCTTGTTCCCACTGAGATCACTGCCATATACATCACGAAATGTTCACAGTGTTGTTGATTGCTGTTCTTAATTTCTAAGAATGTTCACGTTATGTATTGATACAGAATAAATGTAGCGATTTAGTTTGCTTAACAAAGAGGCCTTATGTGTGCTCTTTTTCCGCTAAGACCAATTTAAATAACATGTACGTTATCTGCAGTGTTCTTCGGAAACTATTCAATGATGCACAATGTGTCCATGATTATCTAAACGTAATTTGGATTGTGCTTCTCATTTTTTTAATATGATTTCTATTTAGATTTTGGTTTATTTACATAACTAATTATTGATCAGAATTTTGCAGATTTCGATGCGTTCTACGCCAGAAATCTAATGTGTTTAAGTCAATTGTTAGGCCTTCAACTGATGGATGTTCATTTCTTTAGCAAATGCATATGAAAATCAATAGCGGATTAATCTCGATCATTCGTTCTCCGAAACGGGGATAATGGAAAATTACAAGGAAAAAGTTATCTCAATATTGTAATAGCAATGAATTAATTTCTACTATGATACATGCTTATCATATTTATTACGCGAGTGCATTTATACCATTAACTCAGTCGTCAAGTTGAATGAACTAAGTCGTAAGTACTGGCAAACTCATAAATTGATCGTAAATCTATCAGAGTGCTTTAAATTATAGTAGTATTGTATATCAATTCAATAGTGAAATCGGCATTTAATACTGATGAAATCGGCATTTACTGATATAACTTTGTGCGACAATTGTGACATGAAGTGAATCGAAGGAAATCAAATCTCCAGCATTTATTCTGACTCGATCACAATCCAGAAGTTGGTAAAGTTCAAATTCAAAACATTTATCTGGCTTTCAAAATTGCCCGTATAAGGTGAAGATAGCATTTAAATCGTTTAGAGATCTGGCATTTCGTTGTGTTTTGGTATTCAGTTTTGATGATAATTCAATGTAAAAAATATAACTCAGTACTCACTGCAGTGAGTGACAGAGAGCGCATTTTCTCGTCGACGAAAACGTGGAGTCACGGACGGACAGACGGACAGACATGACGAGCACAATAGCGCCTTTTTTCCATAAATGAGAAAATGCGCTAAAAAGCGAGCTTGCTAAAATAATTTCTAAATAACCCTAAACGAAAATAATTAAGTTTCTTGGGATTTTTATGCGTTTAATTTGAAACTGAAGAATGTTCATATTACGGGAGGTTCCAAATCCATCTGACTGACACATATTTTATGTGATGAATTTGGAAGTAGGAGTGTGAAAATAGGTTCATTTCACTCCTGGGAGACGCTAAGTTAATCTGAGTGACACTTTTTGGACTGCTGGCCGTTATCACGCGTTGTTTCTACAGTCAAAATTTACTTTGAACGCAAAAAATAGATTTATTCTGCTTGGGATTGGAAACTGAATTTCCTTGCAATTTTATGGTGTGAACGACGCATTAGCTTTACACTGCTAAGTTGAAATTTTAATATTTCATACAATGAATAACTTTATCACTACTAGAGTAAAAAACTTTGGGCTACGTAAGGAAGCTACGAATTTGTCTAATATACTAAGTCATTCAGACTTTAATTTCTGTGAAAATATTGTCTTCAGCAAATTTTATTCGAAGAAATGTATATATTTTTAATATATAAATTCGTGAATACTTCTCAAAAGTTCATCACAGTGATAGACTATCAGAGAAAACAATCACGTACATGCATGTTCTGCTCTCACAGTTTGTGGTGCCATCGCAATTTTGACTCACAGGTCAAAATAGTGATTCTGGCACGCATCCGATTGATTTTTTGAGCACGAAATGGATTAATTCTAATATTTCTGATTCAGTGAGCAATTTTTGTACTCACTTTTTATACATGGATTACAAAACACATCGAACACCCATCATGTTCAGACCATTGGCTTCGCTAGAATAAAGCACTGAATTGAGATGAAAATTATATGGTCATTTGTTATCTCTTTCATCAATAAGTTATATTAAAGCATGAATACATTTTCAGATTCACGAAAAAATTTTAAGTCAGCTCCCTTATTAATATGTACGAGTACGGAAATATAACTTGGAAAGCTGTATAAGTTTCTAAAATCTGTATTTGCTTCAAATTGAGGCTGCACTGTCGAGTCGCCCGCATTCACACCATGAAATTGGACTGGCTTTCCCTGGCGAAAGTAAATACACGAAAAAATTAGCAAACCCGCATAGAAACCTAAAACGTCTTTCACATGACTAGTAGTGCGAAATGCAAAATCAATCCATATATTGTCTAACTTCATTTCATGAAACTCATAGGACGGAAATGAGATTTTTCTCTTATTCAGTAATTCGAACATGCACAGATATTATGTTTATTATTTCCCCCCAAGTAAATTAAGCGAAAAAAATGTGTCGAAAATAATTAAGAAATATTGGTTCTTTCTTTCGTTCAAAAGGAACTTTCTTCAGTCTTTATACCAACTACTTCACCTAATGATCAGCAATCCAACGGTATTTATTTGCCGTTATTTGGATATTTTAACACTATGGATATTAATGAGCATCTCCTTATTAATACTTGTCGGAAAGCGTGTCATTATTCGCCTTTTATAAGGCATTTTTCAGGCGAATCGCCGACATAAGATGTTTTGAAAGGCTTGAATTTGTCAAAGATTGTTGGTTCCCGTATGCCGGCGTCATATTGCATAGGCTTTCTGTTAGAAAACATTTATTTGCAATTTCCGTTTATTGCTACAATAAAAAGTAACAAGACATAGAACATTTTTATTTTTTCTCATCAAAGCGACTGGAAATAAAATAATATTTACGATAAACTCTCAGAATTTTACTTTCGTACTCGAATGCAATAAAAATGTTCATCTAAGAAGTATTTATTAAAACTAAATTACAGTTTATCCAGAAAATTCTTTATGGAATGTTCATCTAAGTTATTATGGCGCGCAGCCATTTCGGAGATAATTTCCTTCCGATATTATTTTCATTGATGGTTACTTTTGACTGTATGGATTAAGTGCCTGTACTAGAATAAATGCTCATGAAGAGTGGCGAGTTTTACTTTCCTATATTTATAATTTTCAGAAGGCAAGTGAAGGCAAGTGAATATCATTTCATTGCAAATGATGAAAATTATATGATATGCAATGTATTTGAATTTATTTACCTCCATCAATATGCGATTTAATATTAAAAAACAATGCTGCAATTATTTTTAACATTACGATTATTGAAGGAATTTAAAGGGCATAACTGGAAGTCAAAATAATGGGTTTACTACGCGTTATTTTGTGTGATCATAATCTCAAATTCATTTTTGAATCTGAAAAAAGTCGAGTTCGTACGCACGCTTCCATCTTGTTCTGTCCAAGGCCGCGTGAAGAAATCTCGTTGCTTTACTAGTTGAGTGCTCAATGATTATAAATTAGATAATTTCAATCAACTTGCAACAAATCTTGGAGCTTTACTAGTTGAGTGCTCAATGATTATAAATTAGATAATTTCAATCAACTTGCAAATTGGGTGTCAGAAATTTCCCTTCTTTCTTGCCTTGCTTGGCTCTACCGAACCCTCCGTCGAACGAAGGCTCACGCTCACTAATCACAGCCTTTCTGTCGTCTTCTCAAAAGGAAAATTAATTATTAGCCTTCTTAATTAGCAACTTCATGCATTTCATCAGTACTAAGCTGTAATGTTTCATCATTAGTAAACTGTAATGCTTCATCATTTGTAAGCTGTAGTGTGTCATCATTAGTAAACTGTAGTGTGTCATCATTAGTAAGCTGTTGTGTTTCATCATTAGTAAGCTGTTGTGTTTCATCATTAGTAAGCTGTAGTGTTTCATCATTAGTAAGCTGTAGTTTTTCATCATTTGTAAGCTGTAGTGTTTCATCAGTTGTAAGCTTTTGGATTTCATCATTTGTAAGCTGTAGTGTTTCATCATTTGTAAGCTGTAGTGTTTCATCATTCACCAGCTCTTTTGTACCGTCCATTTTGCAGCTAAGAATGAAAATATTGAAGCGAACATTACCAGAACGATGACCTGGTGTTAAAGCAAGACGTTTCCAAAGCCTCTTTCATGAGCAATGCAAAAATTATACCTTTTTTCGTACACTCATATAAACTGTTCTCATCGAAATCCTTCTAAAATTTGATACCTGCGAATGAGAGCTGATCTTTTGATCAGTGCACCATCTGAGAAATAGACTTTTTGAGCTTATTGAACTCATCAAGATTTTGGATATTAACAGACTAATCTGTTGACGTAATTAGAAATTCGACATTATTTATGCTGATCTTAATTTTCAGTAACTATTTTTGGATTTATATTGCCGTCTTCTTTTGATGGCTGGTGCAAAATAATTTGTTTTTCAACCCAATAAAAGGTTCTGGATCGCGACCTAATTAATGACGTAAATCCACGACATTTCTTCCGTAAAGATAAAAGTATTCCATTTGAGCAGTTTAATAATTTTACGTTTTTCAGTGTTAAGATCTTGTATTACAGAGATTTTTAA